TAACTTGAGAGTCTCATCCTTAGAGCTTCTGCCCTTATCTCTCTGGACCTGGGTGGCGATTCTCCTCCCAGCAGGAGCTCAGAGCAGGTTTCTGCTGGGCACAGTCTCTCCTGGGAGGTACACAGTAAGTCACACAGCCCCCACCCAGGAAATCATCACAGGGCTCTCAGCCCAGGAGCATCTCAGGATGCACCACTCTAGAGCAATGTCTTGCTCTCTCTCCTCTGGACTCTGAAATCATCTTTTCCTGACCACACTCCTATTGCATCAGACACTCGAAGGCTTCTCAAAGTGACTCTGTACACATCCTTCCTGACCCCAGGATCTGAAAAGAAAATGCTTTACAATGGAAGGTCAGAAATGTTTGGGGGGAGCTCTGCCTGTAAGTACAGAGGGCCAGGGCCAGGGGAGCTGGCTGAAGGTTTCACACAAGCAGACCAGAGTATCAGGAAGTGCTGAGAGCCCAGGAACAGGCACAGTGGAGATGTGGCTGATCAGATACAAGAGCTGCAAATGCAGCCCAGGGTGGACACAGAAAATCCCTGCTTGGGAGCTGACAGCCCCACTGAGCCCCAACTCAACATGGAGAAGCAAAGCCATTCCAAGGAGGCGTGATGTACATCTGGGCTGCTGACCTCCTCAGCACTATTCCTCCAAATTAAAAAGGAATAAATCAAAATCAGCACCACCACCAATCTCTCAACACAAATCAGAGGCTCTTCCAACTTGGATGCCTTTAGATGAGGTGCTCAGAAAAGCTACTGGAGGGGAAGGAAGTGCTGGTATATACTCCCTTGGGAGGTTGGTAAGAACAGGAGAGCCAAGCACTGCTCAGGAAGGAATTAGGTATGGCAGATCTTACCTTAGCACAGACCTTCTTGTGCAGTTCCCCAACACCAAGGTGTAAACCCTTCCAGTCTGACAAGTCCCCTCAGTCCCACTCCCTTCTCTCCACCACATCCACGCTTACGGAGCCAGAGACCCTCAGATCTGGCAACCCAGGGTGGGGTACCGAGAAACACAACAGCACCAAGCAGCCCCCATGGGGGAGACCAGGCTGAAAGAAATCTGCTCTTGGGGAACCCGCTCCTGAATTTCCTGAGCTGCGGGTGCATGACAGGCTGCCCAGGGGACACGTATTGAACCCTCGCTTTGGGTAAAACAGACAAGTGTCACCTACTGCCAGTGGGCACCACGCACATCTCTCTATGTGAGCATTTCTTGGGACAGAAGGAACAGTTATTCTCTCTGTCCTCTCATCTAAAAAGGCTTTTTTTTTGTGGCAGCGACCCAATGCACTTTGCATTTCAGCTCTATCTGTCTTTACAGGACTTGACTCAGGACTGCAAAGCACTTGCAAGGGGGACCCAGTCCCCCCAGGGAGCTGCAAGAGGGGCTTGGGGCAGGAGCAGTTACAGGCTCAGAGGAACTGGGAAAACACACAACCGTTATCAGGAGCATTGGATTGGACTCAAAGCACCAGAGGGAGAGAAAAATAACAGAGGGGAGGACAGGAGCAGTGTTGTTATGGACAGAAGCCATCATTTTGTGGGGCACCTGCATCCACGCTGACCTGCGAGCAGGGAAGGGGGAAAGACGGGGTCCCAGCTACTCTGTCCCCCGGGAGCACCGTGCATTCACCAGCACTCACCCTCTGCTGACAATGAGGCGCAGGGCGTCCAGGTTGCCGTGGTAGGCAGCCCATAGGGTCGGGGTCATGCCATCCTCGTCCGGCGAGTTCAGGTCCTTCTTGGTGGCTTCCTTCAGGAGGTCCAGGTAGCCGTCCCGGGCTGCTCGGTGGTACTGGTCATTCATGGTGCGGAGCGGTCCCCGGGCAAACGCATGGATGCCCAGGGGGGCTCAGAGGATGGGCATGGACGTGGGGAAGGGGGAGCTGCCAGGAGGGCCCAGCTCACCTCGCACAGCGCTACCAGGACACCTGAGAAGTCCTGGCCGGGGAGGCAGGAGCTCCTCCAAGCTCAGCCAGCCCGGCTCTCCAGCGCTTCCCCTGGGTCCTAAGCATCCTCCGGCCCTGACGGCTCCTCACAACAAACCTTTCACGCACCAGCTCCACGGCACATTAAAAGCTCCAATTAAACAACATCACTGTGCCAGGCTCAGCCGAGTGCTGTGGGCACAGGGTCATGCAGTGACAACTCGCTGGGGCTGCGTGTCCCCTAAGCAGAGCAGGCTGCTAGAAAGGCTCACGGGTCGTATCCTGCCCAATCCCACTGAATGCCCCTTGCCGTAGCTACCCCATCTCGAGTGAGGGTCAGCAGCAGCCACAGGAGGAAGCGTGGGCTGACAGAGTGAGAGCCCCCGCTGCCTCCACTCGCAGCTCTGTCAGAGCAGGGCAGCAGCTGGGACCGGGATGGATGCTCCCGCTCCGTGCAGGGATGGCTGAGAGCAGTTTGGGAACTGCCTCTGATTTCAAAGCAACATGGGAGGGGTTCTCAACTCAGTTTTTCCTGGTTTAAAAAAAAAAATAAAATATATATATATATATATGTACACACACACATCTGCATATACATATATATATATACACATGTATATAGGGAGAGATACATATATACACACACACATATATGTACATAGGGAGAGATATATATGTACACACACACATACATGTACATAGGGAGAGATATATATCTCTCTTCCTAGTGTCACTAGGAAGACAACAGCAGACTCAGTCACCATTCCTGCCCCCCCAACTATCCTGTCTATGCCCACAGGACTCTGCTTTCCAAGGAATTGCACAACAAACTCCACAACAGAAATCCACAGTAACCTGAAGTCACTCATACAGGCTGGAAAAATGCCCTTCCTCACTTCCTCTCCCCTCTTTGGAGACCAAAAAAGCCCCCCAAATCAAACCTGCTCCTGTCTGTAGCTCAGTACTTCTATGATGTGCATGAGAGGCAGTGTCTGGCCTCCAGTGTCTTTTACGCTGACACAGAATTTCTGGGTGGTATGAGCGCTGGTGGGAGCTGGATGACCCCAGGCAATGCCTCCAGCACAGGATTCCCAGGCTCTGGGCACCCTCTGCCGTCAGGAGAGACGGAGCCAAGCCTGGATGTTGGCCAAAGCACGCAGAAGTCGCAGCACATTGCGCCCAGCGGTGAATCGTATCCCCTGGGACATGTTGTCATGGAGGAGGAATTTCCTGCTCCTCTCTTGTGCCTTTTGCGTACCCTGGCTCTGGGGATGGAGATTTCCACGGCTGGACCCTGCGTCTGCCACCATGCCCTGAGACAGCGCTCAGGATTTGGAGAGGGCAGACCCAGCAGATAGGTGAGAAAGGGGAAAAGGATGCAAAAATGGAGAAAGACTGAAAGGCAGCAGCAGGGAGGGTTAGAAGGTAATAAGCAGCGAGGTGGAAAACCAGAGAGAAATGCAGCTTGGTTTTGTAAGCAAAAAAATGCCCCAAGACAGCAGGGTGGCCCTAAAGCAGTCCCTGGTGCACCCACACAAGCTGCAGTGATTAACCCCTGGGTGACCGACACGGAGTCACCATCCCAGCTGCCCGGGGACACCTGTGAGCGCACCGGAGAGAGGGTCGGCTCCCCGCATGGTTTGCTTACATCAGCAGATTGGTACTTACCCACTTGGGTGAGTCCTGATGGGATGTAGTAGACCTCGAGGTATTTGCCACTGTGATCCTTCCAGGTGAAAAGCAGCATAGTAACATGCAATTCATTACCGAGGTTATTTAATGATTCTTCTGTTGTTACTAATTAAGCTTGTTATGCTCTACGGTGGCTGCCAGGGGGGACTGGGAGCATTGCCCAAGGCAGTAAACATTCTTTCCTCTGTTGCTGGTTGTTAAAGACAAAAGATGGTTGGATAAATCGGTGCGTTTATCCCAAGAGGACTCTGAGCCTCTGGTCTCTGCAAAACATCACCATTACCAGCTCAGATTCACCACAGGGAGGTCTGGACTTCCCCTGGGAAAGGCTACAAACTGAGAAAAGATCAACAACTCGCCGCAAAAAGGAACCCCTAAGGATCAGCAGAGGCAAGTCAGGGCAGACCCAGTACTGCTTGTGGCAGCCGGCTGGTGGCAGCATGGGAAAGACGCATGAAGGTCTCCCTGGGCTGTACAGCAGATTCTGAGCTCTCTTCTTCACCATCCAGCATAGTCCAGTTTGATGCTGTCCCCGTAGTGCTGCAAAAAGGAGCACGGTGGTGAGCCGACAGGAATGGGGCTGAGCAAACGCACAGCAAAGAGCCCCATCTCTGTGCTTGCCCCAGAGGAGGCAAGCAGAAGGGACATCTCCAAAAGCAGAATCCTCATGAAGGAATAAAACTTGTCCCCATCCACTCAGAACTGCCCTGAGTCTCCCCAGTTCCCCCACTGAAATATAACAGCTGGAGTAAAAGAGATCTTGAGCTAAAGGTCTCCCCTCACCTGGCAAATGCTTGAATCCCATCTGCACTGTGGTTTGTAATGTGACTTCTTTCTCCTTGAAAGGAGAGAAGTTAAGCTCCTGAGGGCCAGAGAAAGGTGATCCCACCCGGAAATTCAAAGGCAGTGCGTCAACAAAGGGGAACAGATTCCAGTTCCCAAATCCTGCCCTCCTGTAGTAGTGCTAAACTTCCGTCATTGTTGCCACCACGGGTGGAAAAAAGATTGAGCTGCCCTTGGCACTGAATAGATACAAACGCAAATTTCTTCCTTTTCCTTAAAAATATTCCAGGTGTAGAGCATGCCTAGGGATAGAAATAGTACAGGGTGAGGCACAATATTTTTTGTGCTCAGTTAAGCAGAAAGCCAAGCCCAAAATCATCAGCAAAGATAAGTTCACCACCTAAACTGTCTTCTCTCAAGAGAAGAAATCTCAGGTGGGTAGGGAGATGGGGTGGCTTTGCTCTATCTATGGTGACCATGACCCTGCAACCGAGCGGTCCGTGCCATGCTTGGCAGTGTTGTTACTTCATGCCCTCCCCAGGTAAATAACCCTTATCTCCTCATTTCTCTTCTGCTTCCCCAAAATCAGCTATTGCACAAAATGGATCACATGAGTTTCTCTGAGAAGCCCATGAAGCACTGCTGTCAGCTCCAGACATGGTATAAATCACAGAGACATCCCAAAAGGTATAAATTCTTCGGCTGACCAAGCTGCAGCAACGGGGAAATTTCTCAGCCTAGCAAGAGCAGAGATTTGGATCCCAGGCAGCAAAACAGGTTGGTGGAATGGCTTTGTCTGAATGGTTAATTTGCCTTGTTTCAGGCTTTTCACTGACAATCAATGAAGTCCCAAGCTTGGCACAGGCAAGGGGCTTTAGAGGGAATGACAGAAGAGATAGCTCACATTCTTCTTTCAGGAACTGGTATAAACCATAATGTGGTGTTTCAAAGACTCCCAGGGCTTTCTTACCTTTTGGTGGCCTGTTCCTCAGCCAGGAAGTATGACATGTTTAGTGGCTGACATTTAGAAATCAAACCACATTGGCCATTTGCCCCAGGATATTTGATCCTGTAAGTGTTTTTCTGGTGCCTTTCCAATATCTTGCATCAATAAACACTTAAACACTGTGTGGCAAATTAGGCATGCTTTGTTAAACTGACCTGGGATCCCCCCAAGCAAAAGTATTTTAAGCAAGAATTCAGCCTTCAGGGAACCAGGAAGAGAAAGGTTGAAAATGAGCTCATCCCTCCTTTTGCGCTCCCTCTCTCAGCCTTCCCTGTTCCTCTGATACGTCCTCTCCTCCTCATCACATGTTCTGCTTTCGTCCAGCCCTGGACTATTCAAAATGAAGTGACGCCTCTCATTCATGGGGCTCTCCTCCCAACAGTTAACCCTCAGCTAAAGCATTAGCTGAACCATGACCGAAGCGCCCGTGTGGAAGGACAGCGAGATCGGACGCCCCAACTCCAGCATGGGCTGTGGACACAAGGATGACAAAGCCAGCCTGGCTTCGAGCCAGATAGCATCTTTCAGCCACCAGCCTCATCAGCCGCCCTCCACTCCTGCCTCCAAGGAAGTGTGGAAAAAGGGTGGCCGCATGTTCTCCATCCTGCTGGCTGTGCACTTAGCCCTGCTGGCCTGCACGCTGGTGAGCAGCGGGGCTTTTGAGAAGATTGCCGTGCATGATTACGATGTCTTCTTCCTGCTGACTGTCATGATGCTGATAGTCATCATATGGATCATCTTCTACCTCGCCGGCACCTCCCGGTGCCCAGATGCCATCCTCTGCAAAGATTCCCACGCTGGGCCCATCTGGTTGAGAGGTAGGAGCTCTCGGGGTGGGGTAGGGCTGGAGGGGAGATGCAGGGTGGACAGTTCATGGAGGCATCGGTTATTAGAAAGGAAAAAGCAACCATCTGGGGCACCGTCTCCTCCTCCTGTGCTGGGGCATGGAACCATGCACTGCTTCAGGTTAGCTCCTAGTCCCTCCACTGGTTTCACTGACAAGTCTCCCTTTACCTGCAAAGGCTCTTGGCACTTTACACCAGGTTCTCTCCCAGCCTTGATATTGCTTTTGCAAGAGCTGTTAGCCCCAGTCAGAGTATAGGGTTGATTGAAAATCCCTTCCAGCCAAAATTATTGTATGGTTCTGTTGGTGCCAAGATAATTTGGGTGCTGGGAGGGGAAAAACAGAGGTAGGAACAAAGCCTCTCCATGGCAATAATGCCTCTTCTTACTCTCGTCTATCTGTTTTAGCCCATATGTGCATACATTTGTCCAACCACAGATATTTTGGTTTCTCAACAGGAGGCCTGGTCCTATTTGCCATTTTCAGCCTTGTCATGGATGTGTTCAAAATAGGATATTACTCGAGCTTCTACAGCTGCCTATCTGCAATCAAAATAATCTACCCCATTGTGCAAGCAATATTCGTGGTCATCCAGGTGAGATGGTTGTGCTCTGTCTCAGGGAAGGGTAGAGAGACAGCCACCAGCAGAAAGAGCTCTGATGTCATGAACATAGTTCAACTCACCCTGCAGCGAATGCAACTGCCTTAAGTCAGCCCCCACCCAGCCCACATCTTCTCCCTCCAACCATGACAACTTCCAGCTGTGGCAACTCACTTTATGACATTGATTTAAACTTGTTCCCATCCTGTGACATTTTGGCTTATACCAGGATGGCTTGTCATAAACTCTGAGTAGCCAGGTCTCCTTTCCCATGAAGAACAGAGAGGGAGGAGGACAGTCAGGGCAGGGACTGCCTTGCAGTCTGAAGTCCTACACAGAGGCCCACTTGCTCTGGGACAATACCAAGTAGGGAAGTGGTCAGACAGGGACAATTTAGACAGGAACAGGGGCTGGCTGTGGGCACAACAATGGCAGTGGGACAGGGCAGGAAGAGCAAAGAAAGAGCAGACCACATCCATCAAATGCCCAGAATTATGGGCTAATAGGCTGGGCCCAGATGGACCCAAGCAAAAGAGGCTCCATCTTGCTCTCTACTGAGCAGGGAGATCCCTACTTCAGAATGATGTGATTTGCTTTCTGGCTTTGTTGGAAATAACAACTTTTTTTCTTGCCTCTGCCAGACGTACTTCCTGTGGATTTCTGCCAAAGACTGTGTCCACGTACACCTGAACGTTACCAGGTGAGCATGGCTGCTCTTTGAATCCCACTGGCCCAGAAGACTTGGGCCACTGCAAACCTGTTGCACTCTCACACAGCTAAAATGTCACAAGAGGATAATCCCATCTCCCTTAATGCTGGCCAAAACTATACCTGCTCAGTCTCCAGCTAGCTGTAGATCCCAGCTCAAGCAGTTGAGGTTCATGACCTGTGGATCTAGCAGGGTGGGAGATACATTCAAGAATACATTCATTACTGAAAGCAGACTACTATTAAACTAATAATTATCATTAAATAAAATTATTCGTAGCTAACTTTTTCTTCCCTGGGGAAGACAACAATGCAGTGGGCAAGCCTCAGGCTAAAACAAGATCTTGTCCACTTTTGCAAGACTGGATCTACTGGAGACCAATCCAGACCTATTAATCTATTCACTATTGAGAAGCTCTTCCAAAACCAACAAGAGGAACCAGGCCTTGCTAATTCTTGTGAGCATGGACAAAAAAAAGGAAGAGAGTGAGAGCAGCAAAGCAAGGATCGGGATTTCTAGCCTCAACCACTAGAGTCCTCGCACCACTTCAGGCAGCTCCCACAGTCTCTCTGAGCATGTGCACATCTATAACATGGATGGGAGCAACATGCCCTAGAGCCATTGCATTAATCTCATGAACCCTTCTCCTTCTTCTGCAGGTGCGGCTTGATGCTAACACTGACTACAAACTTAGCGGTGTGGATGTCAGCAGTGACAGATGAATCCGTTCACAAAGCACATTCAAAGTTGAAGAAGAACGTGACAGAGGAAATCTTCAGATGGCTCCTGAAAGGTAATCTGCCCATCTGTGAAGCCATCTGGCCCAGGGAGAGAGCCCAAGAGGTAGAAATTGTTTTGCAAGCGAGGCTTTATCCCTTTCCAGAAGGCTTATCTAGAGCTGAAGGTTCCCTTAACAGAGCTGGTATGTTAAAAGCCAGGTCTTAATGTTCATTTCTTAACCTATATCACAGAGGAATCTGAAAGCTGGAAGGCCCCATGCTAATGGGATGGGAATGAAGAGGGAAGGAAAAAGAGAGGTTTAGCCTGCCACCTAACTTCTTCAGAATGCTGAAGAAATGAGCATCAGAAAGCTCAGGTTGAAGTGTCCTTGTTTTCAAAATGGTCACATATTCTTCTGTCCTTGGTCTTGTTTTTCACTGACCTTAAGTATCCTGTTCTTCAGGGCTGTGAACAAGTGCTGGCTCCTTGTTTTAATACCACTGCACCTATGTGCTTTTATGTTGTTTCAGCGGGAATGAGAAGTAGCTCAGCTGAAGAATGCAATTGCAACAGCCAAATCTGCCAGATCTTCAAGAACGGCTACTTTTGGCTATACCCCTTTAACATTGAGTACAGTCTCTTTGCCTCTGCCATGGTCTATGTCATGTGGAAGAACGTTGGACGCTTCATAGACCACCACTCCCACCACATTCACCGCCTGAAGTTCAGGCTCTTCCGAAGGACCTTCTTTGTAGGCATCGTGTTGGGCCTCATCATTCTGGTGAGTGGTTTGGGAGTCCTTATTCTTTATGAGGTGCAGGTAAATTCCAGCACTGAATCCAGCAAGAAGAACCAAGCACTCGCCATGTACTACATCTTCAACATTGTTTGTCTGGGCCTGATGTCTCTTGTCTGCATTGGTGGCTCTGTCATTTACCGGTTTGACAAGAGAGACATGGATCGGCACAAGAACCCAACCAGGACCCTGGACGTGGCCCTGCTGATGGGTGCAGCCTTGGGGCAGTATGCTATTTCTTACTACTCCATTGTGGCCATTGTAGCCAGCACACCAAGGGACGCTATCAGCGCACTCAACCTCACCTACGCCCTCCTAATGATTGCTCAGCACACCTTCCAGAACATCTTCATTATTGAAGGCCTTCATCGGCAACCCCCCAAGGAAGACCACAAGCACGATTCTCGCCAGAAGGATCTTTATGGACTCACCTTTGTCAACATCAATGCAGTGTCCCTCCGTGTGCCCGACAGTGGCAGCACCTTGGCCCCTAGCACTGCCTCTGGCACTGAAGCCATCCATCCTTCTGACCTCGTGCGGTCCCTCACCGCCCCCAAGAGGATGAACTGGAGGAGGAAGTTCTTAAGGGAGATCTCCATGTTCCTCCTGCTGAGCAATATCATAGTGAGTACCTGCAGAAAGAAGAGTTTGTCAGGGTGGGGGAGAGGGAAGCAAGCACGAGAGAGAAGTGTCTGTGAAGGAAAGGATGTGGCCCATGCAAAAACAGTCTTTTCTGTGCCTCTGCTATACAGAGAGCACACTTACTTCTATTTGTGTGTGCGGAGAGCTGGGGTTCCCTTGCCACTTAAAAGCAAGAGCAATTGCCCTGGAGTTAAGACATTTTAGGCTACACCAATAGACCTGTAACTTATCACCAGAATATCAGACAATAACATTGGTGGGTACAAGAGAAGAATCAGTTTCCGTATTTTTATTGGGTATTAGCAGATATGTAGAATAGCTTATTAAAGGTAATAAAATACATTAAAACTTTTGTTTACACCCCCAAAGAAAAGACGTTAAGTGAAAAATACCTGGGGTGAAGTCTGTTTTTTCTTGAAAATGGCAGCACGTCTCTCCTCAAAACCCATGGCCTAGGAGCCCAAACACTGATCCTGGTTGCTGTGAGGAGAAACTGGTCACTGATAACTTCAGTTGGGGTTCCCATTTTCATGAGCAGCCAGAGGACTGCAGTTTTCTGCAAAAGAAATGGAGGATTACAGCTGCACCTCCAAATAAGTGAAGCACATGTTGTCTCTAGAGAACCTCCAAGTCCCCAGCTAGTCAGTCACATCGTGTCCTCAAACTGATTTTACACGTAAGCTCACAGAGAATGAGCTGACAACTCTCATGCAACCAGATACGCGTGCTGGCTGGGCTTCTGAGCAAGACTTACACAACCAAGCCTGGGGAGACCGAGCTGCTGCCAGCTCAGCCTTACCCAGGCTTGCTCCATCCAAAGAGTTTGAACAGGCCAGGTTCATGCTAAGACACAACATAGTTAAGTTCTTCCTCCAGTGAGTGCTTCAGCACTTGATTCAAGCCTGTCTCTGAGCATGATTCAAAACTGGGATTAGGGTACAACACTAGACCATATTTTATCTTAATGTAAACACAGACTCCTGGCGCAGGTCCCGCTCTCGGAAGGTCGCTCTTTCTCCCATCTCTTGGTAGCTGTGATTGCAGGTTCCTGCTGTGCCACACCTCTTTCTCACTGCAATGTTATTCTCCTGTTTCCTCAAACAGCTCTGGATCATGCCAGCGTTTGGTGCTCGGCCCCAGTTTGACAATGACACAGAACTGAACTTCTATGGCGATTCCATGTGGCCGGCCATTGTGGACATTTGCCTGCCCTTTGGGATCTTCTACCGAATGCATGCAGTGGCCAGTTTGCTGGAGGTCTACATCATGTCCTAAAGAACTCTCTTGCAAGGAAGATGAGATCCTCCTCAACCAATCCACCTTCTTCCTACCCCTGGGCTGGGAGACTGCCCAGATGTCCCAAGGGGTCCCCAGCACCCCTTGAATCATGTCCCCTTGCAGTGTTGGGGCATTTATGAACTATCAGTGAAGATCATCCAAACATAGTCCAGATTTTATTTTTGCTACTTGTGTGTGGATGTGCCTGTGTGTGTCTGAAGTTCTTAAAGTTTAAAAGAAAAAAGATAAAAAAAGGAAGGTGTCCAGAGTAGGATCACGGTAATTACCCTTGGTTCATGCAGAGACTCACCTTCCTTCCTAAAATCCTGTTCACTCCATGCCACTGATGTACTCTCCAGTGGGTGCTCAGCACCCTTGGACAGTCAATGCCTGCCTGCACACAGAAACCCCCTGGGTACGAGGGGCTAACACAGGTGTGGAAGGCAAAGAAAGGGAAACCACTTCAACTTCAGGTACGGCCAGTCAGAAATCACTCCCCTGCAGAGATGTGAAAAGCAAACCAGTGACCACCGAAGGCTTTGGGAAACATTTTAATCTTTCCTCTCTCTATTGCCCGTTTATATTGGCCCTCTTGACCCTTCCCTGTATCAGCCCCTGTTGTTTTCTTTCCTCTCCTGAGAGGCATCACTGCAGCTTCCTCTTCCCGAGGGGCAGGTTGTCTCTACAGGAGAGCTGTGCATGTGATGTGGTCCTGGGCTGGCCCTGATCTGCAATTGCTCTAAGCACACTTTTTTGCCCAGTTTTCCTGAATCAGGGCTCAAGAAACATAAAGATCACATGGGCAATACAGTCTGGGGAATGATCAAGAGATTTCTTTTCCTTTTTCTTTTTTTTAAATAGATAATGATTTTTTTTTAATATATGAACGTTTTTGTACGTGAAGTTATTTATTGATTTTCACTGTAACACTGAACTCCTGAAGGGGCCTCCTGTGCCCTATGACACAGAAATCAATCCAATGCCACAGACAATTTGACCTCCCATGCCCTGAAGGGATGCTTGTGCTGCACTCTGTGTGTTTTGAAGCTGTGAGCACAGCCCCGGCGCACATAGCAGTGGGGCTCTGACACGGATTTCTGGGTTCCTGCAGCTCTCCATGAACCACTGTATGATTGAGGGGGCTTTCAGAGCAGGACTCCTGGGCTGCAGGAGGTAGAAATGGGCCCCGGTTCTGTACCCAGAGCCCAAGCAGAGCCTCAGAAAACCCACGCCGCCAGGTCGGGAGGGTGCATGCCAAAACAACACAGCTAAGCTTTGTCTGTACACTGAGGCATCAGGGTTTACTGTTCCAATAAAGGGCTTATTGTTCTATCAGGGTTTATCATCCCAATAAAGAACACTGCAGAGGTGGCAGAAATCATCAAGCCTTTTCCTACAGACGTGTGTGCATCTGCCAAAGGGAAAAAAAAATAAACAGAAATCACGATACTTAAAATGGAGTAATGCAATTTTCCACCTGACAACCCAGACTGCCAGCCCAGGCTCACGCATTTCAAACCACCTTTCTCCTCCAAACCTAGATCACCAAACCAGAAGGGACCAGTGACTCTGGCTGGTCTGTCACCAGCCTACCTGCCAGCAGCCTTTCTCTGAGGTTGTTAGAAGATGGGGTAAACCCTGATTTCCCCTGCCCCAAGAGGACTGCACTGATCCAGCATCTCTGCGGTGGGTCAATCTTTCCTTTCCCCATTGATTTGGTAAAGATACAATCTCTCCCCAGAAACTCTACCTTTCATAAAACAAAAGCCTTATTAATTTCAACTGGAGGAGCCACAGATTAAGTCAGAAAAGAGACGTAAATGGTGCACAGACGTCAGTCTTACGTACATTCCTACACATTGTTTTAGCACAAGCTGCTGAGCTTTGACAGGCACAGAAAATATTTTTAATCACTCACTGTTCCTGGAGGGCACACCAGGTTTTTCTCCTATGTGCTCTGGCTAGTGCCTGGTCCTAGTTTTCCCAGGCTGGGCACACTGAGCCGGGCAGGGCAGAGTTTGAACTGCTCTTTTTGTCCTGGACAGTAGCTGTAGAGGCACTTCTGGGGCTAAATAAACTCAGGATGGTTGTAAAGAGAACCCCACAGCAGGCCAAGTAGCACAGATAGAGGCAATAGTCCCAAATCAACTGCTCCAGGGTGGTGGGTCAACAGGAACCACAACATCTATCTACAAGCAATCCTATTATCAGGATAAACCAAAACTCTATGGGGAGAGAACAAGCTCCACAAGGACCCCTCACTAACCTGAGGTATTACCAGGCTGCAAGTGCAGGGACAGAAGGGGTTTCCAGCTGAGGGCTGCGTTCTTCTTCTGCCCTCCAACCACATATATGCACCTTGGGAGAGGCAGCAGATGGGGAAATAACCATCAGTGAACCCTATCTATATACCCAAGAAAGGGGGACAGGGAAAGCGAGCACCCACAAGTCCAAAAATAAAAAATCAAAACCCCAAACCCTAAGAAAACCCCACTGTAAACATGGGCCCTGCTGTGTGCTCAAGGATTGTCCAATAGAAGGTATCAGCTCATGGCTCTTTAACATGCAAAAGGATGTTTTCCAAGACTGATGAAGAATCAGCCAAATGTCCCTGGGCAACTCCTCCTAAACGCAGCCAGCATCCCAGACGTGTCACCCAAACCCGGGTGCACCCCTGGAGCAGGCGCTGCCACATCCTAGCTGCGTGGATCCGTGCCCTTCCTCGGGACTCCGCACTGCCAGGCGATGCAGCTGACTGACGTTGGCTGCTCCATCACTACCCCCTTCACTATGGACCCGGGACACAGCTCCTCACAGCCCAGTTAAAGGGGGGGACGTCTCTCCTTGATGGAAAGTTTTATGGAGGGGGACAACACCCCAAATGCAGAGTACCTGATAAACATGAAGGGGTCCCACTTGGTCCATTGTACACATCCTCATGACAGATCCCTGCAGAAAAGCACCACTGTTAGCTCCATCTTCCATACCTGGAAGGAGAGAAACTGAGGCACGGGAGCTGGGTGAACAGAAAGCTCTGTGTCAGAGCAGAGGACGAGGATGGGCCCCGAGGCCACCGGCAGCATCCTGCTGACTGCTGCCATTGCATCAGTTATGGAGCAGAGATCAGATCCGCATTAGGGGATGGGAAATAGGGACAACAGTGTGCCTCAGGGTGACTGTTGAAACTGTAGCCGCTGCAAATGAAGAACTACAGGAAAGCAAAGGGCTGTCCTGAGGCTCTCACGTCTTGCCAGGGGCTTCCAGTCTCTGGTATAAAAGCCACCTTGGCCTCCCAGGGATATGAGCACCTGCTGTGCTGCAAGGGTTTGGTGGGAGCACTGAACCCCACCAACAAAAATCACTCCTCAAGGGATGGCAGGGTTAAGAGCCCAGTTCTGGTCATGCTCAAGGAGCACCAGCCCTGTAGATCCAGCCTCAGGACTATGAGCCACTGTGTGAGTGCCAAAAAAGGTCCTGATTCAAATCCTGGCCTGAGGCACGTGGTGCCAGAGCCAACCAGGGAGAGCAGCGAAAAGGGGAAGAGATGAAAAACAGGAGATCAGAAATCATTTCTCAGAGAAAAGAAAGGAAGGCCATAGCCAAGGCCAGAACTGAGTCATCACTCCACCGCTGCCAGGGTTTCGCATCCCCTCCTCTGCTTCTTAATCATCTGTTATTTGAGGGCGAGTTTTGTTTCATTAGAGAGGAAAAAAAAAAAAAAAAAAAAAAAAAAAAAGCCTTTTATCTGTGTGATTTGCTCTGAGGTGTGTCAGAGACAGGGGAGGAATCCAAGTTAATTATTATCTGTCAGTGCAGCAGCTGGGAAGTGTATGCACTGAGGTCACAAGGCTGGAGATGAGGCATGGGTCTGCAGCACAAGGTGCAGCCCATGAGCAGGACCTGCTCCGGGGTGTGCTGGGAGCCAGGGCAGGAGGTGGTGGTGGAGGAGGCACATCCCAGGGACCAAGGCAGTGGTCCTTACCAGCAAGGAGCAACTCAACGCCAGCAGGAGATCAGTGACCTGCACCGAGGACCAGCAGGGAAAACACAGACTCAAGCTTCACAAGTGGAGCCAGCAGAAACCCACGGAGCCCATCTGCTCCCACAGTGAGGGATGGGGCTGGGGTGGTGCAGCGTGGATCCCTCGCACCCGTGGTGGATGAGGCTGCTCTTTGCAGTCACCCCAAAAGGTGCTCGCTCCCCAGCCCCACGGGAGACGTCACCGGTGCGGTTATCAGTGGAGGAGAAGGAAGGGTGTGGGCTGGCCGGGGAGTCGTGGGGCACACGGCATTCCTCAGTCGGCCTTTGGGCAAACACAGCGGCTGGGCACAAACCTCCTTCCTCCCCGCGTCCTGTTTACAGATCCGCTTGGCCCACTGAGTATTATTCCTGCTAAGTGCACAGATAAGGCCATTAATAAGCACATGGCTGATAGCAGAGGGGCAAACATCACTCCTAATGTTTAGCAGCTTTTTCTCAGCCTCTGAGTAAAGGCAGCTTCTCCAGGGCAGAGCAGGGCAGTGATTTATGTGATCGATCCAGTCAGTTCAACCCATCCTCTCCCTTCCTGCCCCTCTCCTGCATGCTTGCTTACTTAATGACTTGGTTAAACTTGTGTCAATAGATTCAAGTTAAACAGCTGCTTGTCTTCAATATAAAGGCCAAATTAGGAGGATTAACCAGTCTCCCAGGGCTTTACAATACCTCTGGGTTCAACCTCAGCTCCAAAGCCAGAAGGCGGCTAGTCAGGATGTTTCATCTTTGCAGCCCAGATGCACAGTCCCATTGGCAAAACCACTGGGGCACGGCAGAGCCTGTAATAAAATGTTGGAGTCCTCTTTAAAGGAAAAGCCTCCTGTTTCACCCAAACTGCTTTTCCCCAGGATATTCAGACTCCTGGCCTCCATTTCCCAGTTTTGCACAGTCACCCCAGTTTGGGACCACAGCACTGAAAAACAGGTAAGTTTGTTAATGTCTTGCACATAAACCGTTGTCTTTGTTCAACAAAGAGGCCACCAAATAGCTCTTGGGAGATTCCAGTTCCCTGCTAAGCTCTAGAATGGGGTCCAGAGGAGATCCAGGCAACCAAAGGAGAGCCTGATTGCACTCAGGGGATCCCAGAGCATCAAGGCAAGGAGCAAGGACATGGTCATCCAAGCAGGTTGAAGACGCTGACGCTACGGGGGAAGGCAGAACAAATCTAATCATGGGTATCCATGAAAATGTGCTCAGATCACAGCATCTAGGCTCCATCACAGCAGTGCAAGTGCTTGGTCAGACATTAAACATGACCGTTTTGCTGGCAGACATTAAGTGCAACAGTGGCAGCAGCACACACTGGGTGCTCTCGCAGCAATGGGCCCCTTTCACTCTTGTTTTCCATCCCTTTCGTCACACCCCACACATGATAACCTCTGCTTCCCCACCCACTTCTACCCCTAATTAGATTCTTGGGGAGTGTTTCATGGCTCTGAATGCCCAATTCATGTGTTTGCCAGCTGCAAGAACTCCAGAGCTTGAGGGTTCATCCTGGGACACACTAACAACTTTTCCCCTTCCACAGAGAGGTTCATCCTCTAGGATGGACCCTCTAGGGTCACCACCTCAGCCAGGAATGCCAAATCCCCCTTGCCAGCCACAGAACCAGGAGGATCAGCTCACCACAGAGTCACAAGACAGAAATCAGCTTGCCCTGCAAGAGGATAGGGAGCAGGGACAGCACAGCTTGGACCGAAAGCATCCCTGACCTCACATGGCTGAGCCTGCGGGGTTTGCACACAAGGGTCTAGCTCTGAAGTCAGCATTAATAGGTCACAGCTATCACCCTCAAAAGAAGCAACTCTTCTGCCAGAAATGCATTATGTTGGTGTCATCCCTGCACGTAGGCTGGACTGTGAGTTTTTTGGGTCAGTTTGGGTATCAGTGTCTTGGATAAAGGCACAAAGTAATGGCAAACGAGAAAAAAAAAAATCTTAGTATCTACCTTAAAACAAGGGAGTGGGGAACTCAAGTGGATTTTAGCCAAAGCAGTGTGGCTAAGCACTCCCAGCACAAGCCTGTGCCAGGAGATTAGCTCTATACTCACCTGAGCCATGGCACAAATTAGTCACCACAGCTTGTGGTTTTACCAGTTGGCACATCCTGTGCCGAGGCCATTGACATGGGGCAACCCAGCAGGTGTATAAAGGAGCTGATCCCCATTGGCTGCCCATGGCAGAGCCGAGAGCTTCTCACTGAGTAATTAATGTAATGACAATAATAGACCCAAAGTAAACAAGGTGGAAAAAAAAAATAAATCAATGGGCTGGGAGCAGAGGCCGCATTCAGCAGGG